GTAAGGTTGAGACACTAGTTTGGAGATGCATTATTCATCATTACATTGTAAAAATAAAATCCAAAAAAAGTTAATATTTGTAGTAACAGGAGCTGACAGACTGCCGTAGGGTGTGAAATTTATATATCTTTTTCAAAGACCTATAATTTTCAATACACATACATAACATTTTATTAAATATTTTTCTGATAGCTGTTATGACTTTGCCTATCACCCGGTTTCGGCTTGACGTCGACTTCTGGGTCCGTCAATAACTTGGAAGGTTTCTCCTATGCCTAGGATGAAAACGCTTTGCAGTTTTTGAAAATTGTTTCAGTGGCGATGGAGAAAAAGGAAAAAATCAAGAAAAGATAAATCAGTCAAACTTCGATTTTTGACGTTTCAGAGGACTATGATAACTTTTGAAAAAATTTTCAACGATAAAAAAATTCGGTATATATACCTTTAATTGTCTTATGTTAGTATATTTATGCACTCATCATAGATCTTCCCATACATTCCCCCTTGAAACAGAATGCTTTCGATACGCCTCCATGCTTCTGCTGTTTGTTACTGATGGACTTTATTACCGACAGGGCGGGAAAAGGATCTGTGGACTAATTGTATGGGCTTGTTTGACTGACTTGATCCGTTCAATTTCTCAATTATACATGTTCGTAACTAACTTTTTGCTCAGCGAGTCTCACTTGTCCCCGTATGAACTGATGGCAGCGTTGTGTGGGAAGTGCAAAGTTAGCCTACTTGACGCCATTTGCTTAAGGGCATTTGTACGCGGAAAAATCCATGATGTGTGAAATATGTGTAATAGGTGCGTAGAATTACCAGGGCTGGAAATGTATAAATATACTATCGTCAAAAAGAGATATACCACTCTATCCCATACTGCCCCCAACCCCCCCATTTTTTGCTACAATTTTTTTTCTGGAAATGATCAAGAGCCTCTTAAATGCCAAGAAACGAAGTTTGAGCGATTTTTTTTTTTTTTTTTTTTGTTTTGGGTCATCACTGTTATCAGTTGTTTTTGGCATCGTCGTAACCTTGTGTCCAAACCCCTAGAAATCTGACCGTGTACCCAAATTATAGGAGAGCCAAGGATAGACAGGCATACAGATAAACCGACAGACACACAGACAGACATAATTTTTCGTAATGCATCATCAAAAAAACACATTGTCTTAATTTCGATTATTTTTGCAATCGTGCGAGTTTTAGTATATTTTCCTTTCTGGGACTGTAAAACCATAAGAAAACTTCAATAAATTCAAAACACAGAATCTCAGAAAGTGCGACCTTAATATTGCTGCTTTCTCAGAACTAGGATGGCTGAATATGAAACAATTGTATGCTTTCAACATGCTCACATATACTCACAAGCTTTTCTATAGATCTGTGCCCCAATTTTTGAGAGAGAAGCTGATAGCGCGCAGATATGTATACATTCCCGAAATATAAGATACAATAACACCTTAACAATGCCACACCACAGGACTGCTTTCTTTCGGAATAGTTTTAGATACAATGCCGTTAAGTTGTATAGCTCTCTGCTAGATAGCTATAAGTCATTGTCAGTTAATGAATTTAAGCCAGAAGTTAAGATGTATACATTGAGTCATGCAAATGCTGGCATAAATTATTACTCTTTTGTGGCGTATTCACATTGTTTAATCTGTATTTTATCCTGTTCGTGTCTCATTTATTTATGTATATATTTTATATCGTCAGTGAATTTTATTATGAATATTATAATAGTCTTTTGAAATGCTTCAACTTTATCCATAATATTACTAATTTGAGAAAATATGACCATATCAGCGTTTCTTTGAGAGACTTGGGATGGATGAAGCTGAGAGGCCTACAGTATATTCAGATAAGAGATAGACCGGACATAAACAAGACCACGTGATCATCGAACGCTGTAACATTCGGCAGGGACGTATTAAGAGTCACGCAGTACATATTTTAGATAGTAGATGCTGCTTTGCGTAACTTTGTAGTAAATTAGCACAATTCGATGTGTATACGATTGGTGATGGATATAGGATCATGTGGGGGTGGGGTAAGAAATATATAATGATGTAAATATACATAAGGGTTTCAAAATTTTCGCTTCGATTTCCAGCTTCGGATGCCGCTTGATGTTTGGTGAAATACAGTCGAATATAATCTCAAAATGGCGTTTAAATTCGCCTAAATTAAAAATAATCGTATATCTCTTAAAATTGCTTTTAGAATATTGATTAGTATATTTTTTGATTTCTAGGTAAATATGTAACCAAATTAAAACGTTCAAAACGTAAAAAAATGTGCATGGTTCAACATTGTCAGAAAGTAGATTCTTGAATAGGTTTTGCCAAAATGGGTTCAGAAATGTCAATAATTAATTAAAAAATACAGTAGCTTTATAATTACTTATAACTTACCGAATTTGATGAACGACATCTTTTATTGGAAAGATGAGCTTGATGAGCTTTCATCATCGCTACTGCCTGAAGCACCAACGTCAATAATGAATGGCTCGACTTGTTCCTCTAAAATATTGTCCAGTTCCCACATTCTCTTTTCAACTTTGTCTTTCACGTGCTTAATACAGTTTTCCCATTTTTGCGCTGTTATTAATTCTAGTGCTTCTTTGAAAAGTCCTTTGAGGTCACAAAATTTAAAAGTTGTATTGTGCTTAGCTATATAATTTTTAACCTCTGCCCATATGAGCTCAATGGGATTGAGCTCGCAATGGTAGGTATGGAGGTAAACGGAGCACAGTTTTATTTTGACTTGCTGCCATTTCGTCAATGGCGTATTTTTGATATTCCGCCTTGTGATCATTGACAATTCTTAATAATTGTACTTTCAGCATTGCTTCTTCAAAGTTGATATTTTTCGAGCGGAGCCAATTTTGAACATCAACTTTCCTTGAAGCCGTTGTTGGGACCTTCTCCATTCTTCGAGAATGATAAGGCGCATTATCCAACACAATTACTGCGTTTTCCTCTAAGTTCGGTAAAATTTTTGAAAACCACTGTTCAAACGATTCGCCATTCATTTCCTCGTGGTAATCTCCAGTTTTCTTAGACTCAAAGCACCACAGACCGTCAACAACAAATTCATCCTCACTGCCAATATGGCAGATAATGAGCCTTTTCCCTTTACCTGGAAATCGAAGTACTAACTGGTGTAGATTTATTTCAATAAGCGAACCTTTTTCAAATGTTTTCATCACATTCAGCGAAAAAACATTGAGACATGAGTATCAGATTGCTATAATTGGGGTTATTTAGTCATATTGAAAGAAAGAATATTGAACGTCGTATGATTACTCAGCGCTTCACAATTTAATTTAAAGTTATAAACCTTTAAAAAATGAATGATCAGGAACCTGAAATACGCGCAAATATTAATATTACCAAATTATAACTTTATAAAGCTTAAAGTATGAATTAAAATGATTAGAAATATTAGGAACGGTACACAATATAAAACTTTTTTTTAGTTTATAATATTCGACATATTTTAAGATTATATTAAAAAATTATTGAAATATCGAAAACACATAAAAACATGGCTTAAAAAAGTTCTAACAAATGAAAATGACAATAAAACATCCACGCATTTTATCGAAAGTTATAAAAGTTTTGTTACTTGTAATATTTTTTATCTGCCCCCTGGAATTAATGTTTAGAACCTTGTTCCCAAGGTTTGAAAAACATCCGATTGTTGTCTATTACTCGTATTTACCTGCTGGATTTTTTAATCCGGTGGACAGTCCATCTAGAAAGGCCCTCCTGGATGAAGTTACAGAATCATCAACCCATACTTTACTTGTAGTGTGTCCTGCGTTTACCCACGTTTCATCAAGGTAATAAATCTTCCTGTTTTGATTTCTATATTTCCCAATTTTTGTTAAATAATCCCTCCTCCATAGCACAATTTCTTCTCTATCCAGTAGTAAACTATTACGACCTCGTTTTTTCCATTTGAAATTTAAATGCTTCAGTAACGCATGGAAAGTTGATTGTTTGAAATTTGGCAACGTTGTATCTCCATTTACCTCCTGCATACTTTATCTATAGTAGGTATTTCATTCCTAAAGAAGAATTCATGCACTTTCCTCCTAATCGCATGCTTATCAGCTTCATCCAATGATTTAACAATACTTTTGCGATGTTTACTGGTAATTGGCTCAGAAAAGGTGTGTCTTAACACATTAAACACTGATGCGCGACACACCCCAACTTTGTGAGAAACCTTCACAACAATTTCTTTGATGGTTGATGCCTCGTTCTCCTCGCGCTCGATCTTATATATATTCAAAATGACCTCTTTCATTTCTGCACTCAGGTGTCTTTTTTTAGAGCGTTTCCTAGGTGGACTACAGGAGTTTACAACTTCATCGGCAGTATCTGTACTACTGGGCATTTTGCGCAAGCAGTTGATAACACTAACAATCAATAACAAGGTATAACAATAACAACGACAAACTCAACAACTTAATAAGATAACAAACGAAAACGTCCAAAGAAATATCAAATTGCAATGATGCACACGACATACGTAACACGTCTGAACCTGAATGTGACTCTGCCTTGATACGACTGCTCTGCCGCTCGGCATAGGCATTTAATTGCGAATTGACCAATGAGGGCTCCTGTTTTCCGTCGAGACGGCGGCGTTAGCGTGAAAATCACCCGAACCTTTTGTTTACATCCGGTCTATCTCTTATCTGAATATACTGTATATGAGTTACACTCATAATCTCTTGCTTAACAATTTATTTTGAAAAAACACTCACCAGCATAGTTTGTTTGTTTTTTGTACTTTTCAATGATTGAGTGGCAGAATAGCTTCAAGCTAAGCTTCGTCCTCAATAAAAGACGTTTGATATTATTATATGTGGTTTGACGGGGTCAGATAAAGGGGTTCTTTAAATCAACATGCGGTAAATACTCAGACAATCTATCCGGTTTCATTTTTATTTGTATAATGCAAATCTGTAAATAAATACTCATTCTCTTACCTTCCTAATTATCGTATTTGACGCCAATTAACGAATCTCCACACCTCCTCCTATTCAACTTTGCACAAGCCTTTCACAAATCCACCCATTAATCGATCTATTTGTATATTTAGAGTCCTAATAATCCCTGGGGTGTTGATTCCAAATGCACACATCAGCACTTTCCCGTAAATTAAACCGTTGATTATGTATTATTTCGCACCGACGCGATAAATGTCGTACTGGTACCACCTTGGGTTCCTGGGTTACCACGGGCCGTCATCGGTACCCATGCACGGTGATGGGGTTAAGCGAGACACGCCTATCCGACTCTGATTGGTGCAGCGGTGTTGGTACCGCCAGTATGTCGGCAGTACCGTGTGTAGTTGGTGATGGTTCCTTCTAATGGTTCCGACGCGATGATGGAATCGACAGGTGATGTACATGTCTTTGTTTTTGACGCGTGAGACGAGTAGCTCATACTTATGAGCAGATATTCCTATTTTTCACTCGTGCGCGAAGACGGCAAATATTTTTTGATTCTGAGAAGTAGGTTTTAGGGAATTTCGATATCTGTAACACTGCATCGTCAGGATAAGGTTTAAAGATCTCGGCATGCCGCTTTAATAAGCAAAACTTTATAGCTCCTTCATCGTTGCACTGTTGCATGTATTTATTTATACACCATCAACAGATATACAAATTACTGGAGACAATAGATACATCAAAACAACAAACAAAGTAATGTTTGCTCGATGTATGACAATTTTGTATTAAGTATATCAACACAATAATACTATTTTTTATTCACTCAATGTACAAAAAGAACAAACAACAGAGAAAATGAATATTGAATAAAAACAGGCCCAATGGGAGGCATTGCCTGTACATGAACCAATAATTTTAAGTTGCAACTGTAGAATAAAAATTACCAAAAAGCCAAATTTGGTCAAAGTAGATTACGCATTTACTTGATGTTCGTGTTTATGAATTTCAGTCTCAGATATAGAATGTAGCCACTTTCTCAAATTTCTTTTGGAATAATTTCCGAAATGTAAGTCTTTTAAGTCTTTAGGTACAATTTGGCGCTAAATAAAGATATGACCCCGGCATTATAGATTTATGTTCTATGCCACGAATTTTGAACCTTGTATATCGATTATGTTTAATTTTTTGATCGGTGTTGACAAATTTATGGTAGTGATACTGTGTAAGAAATAAAGCTGCCTTATATCATACATTTGCACATCTGCGTATAATTTGTTAGTGAGATAAATTTTCGGTTTCTTAAACATTATCTTAAAAATGCTTTTTTGAAAAATATCTAAATTATAGATATGTGATGAGCGTGCAAATATTCCATATGTGAGACGAGGCTCATTCAGTGTATGGTATAATGTACGAAAATATTTTTCTGTCAGTATATTCGCAAGGTATTTTATTTTGTACGATACAAATCTTCCTTTCTTTAAACTATAAGCGACGTGAATGTCCCATCATAAGTGAGGATCCAATACCATTCCAAGATATCTTATCTTTGGCACTCTATTAATTTGTATTTTTTGATCATTAATTTTGAACGAGAAATATGTGTAATTGTCTAGCGCAGCATGCAAATGGTAAAAAATGTGTTTTAAAATAGTTAACGCTTAATTTTCTGCTATTAAACCACCGAATAATTTTGACAAAATCATTTTAAATAACATTTTTTAGATCAGACCAGTTGGTGCCTTCAGATGCTATTGCAGTATCATCTGCAAAATGGTTATTTTGCTGACACAATTAATTTCGAAAATATAGTTTAAATATAATAATAATAATAATAATTTTTATTGGAATGTTTATACATAAAAATATAAAAACGACAACATTCCAAAAGGAAAGAGGATTGGCACGGCCATTTTTCACCTCCCCCTAAAAAGTTAATTTCATGAGCATTTATGTAACATCAACACAATGATTAGGATGATTCACAACAAATATGCACAACACGATATAGTCTGAGTGTTAATGGAAGATAGTGTAGCAAGCGCCATAAATTTAATTTGTGGATTCAAATCTTTGCAGCTGTAGTAGCACTTTTTCCATCTCATTTCTGAAGTTTTGGATGGGAGGTGCTTCAAAAAGTTCTAAATGATCGTTTAGTAGATATGGTGCCGTGTAAGTAAAACATTTTTTGAATTTAGATGTTGTATGAACTGGAATGTTGAAGTATTCATTGTTGCGTAAGGAAACTTTACGGAGTGAACATCTCTTCTCCAAAGCAATAAACAGATATCTGGGTAATTTATATTTTAAAACTTTATATAGTAGAGTTCCATACTGAAGTAATACACGACACTTGAATTTTAAAAGATTTTCTCTTACATAATATCCAGTAATATGTTCTTGTATATGTATATCTTTGAAACAGAATGTCATGCAGCAGTTTTGTAATACTTGAATTTTGTGTTTCATTTCTTCCGTCAGAAAATGATAATATACTGTAGCGCCATAGTCTAGGTGAGTGAGGATTAGTGCATTGGTAAGCCTTAATTTTATATCGCTGGTTAAAACATGTTTGTATCTCCAAAGTGACTTGTATATACAATAGCATACTCGACGTTTATTAATGACATGGTTCTCAAAATTTAAATTTGTGTCCAACAAAATGCCTAAATTCTTAGTCTCCTCTACAATTTCAACAGATGTATCACCTAAAACAATGGCTGTACTCATCAATCCTTTAAATTTTGAAATATTTAACCTAGAACCAATGCAGCAAGCTTTAGTTTTTGTGGGATTCAGTTTCAAACAATAATTTTTGGAATAGTTTGCAATCATTTCTAGATTTACATTTAACTCTTTAATCAATAAATTAACTTCATTTGGCTTGCAAGCTTTATATATTTGTACATCATCAGCATATAGATATATATTCCAATCATGTGATATAAAATTTAATAAATCAGATGTATAGAATGTAAATAGTAATGGACCTAATACACTTCCTTGCGGAACACCAGAAACTACATTTTGTAAAGTGGAAATTTTGTTAAATATCTTTGTGCATTGGGATCTGCCAGTCAGGTAGTTGTTGAACCACAGTAAGGCATTACTAGACAAACCATAATATTGTAGCTTTTTACATAATACTTCATGGTTGACCATGTCAAATGCCTTACTGTAATCTAACATCACCAATACGGTCACCATACCATCATCCATGAACTTGACTATATCGCTAGTTACTTTTATAAGCGCTGTGGATGTGTTGTGTAGTTTTCTGAATCCCGACTGTGTATCGGGAAGGACTTCATTTACTTCTAGATGGTCACGAAGTTGGTCAGCTACCACTTTCTCTGCAAGCTTGGACATCGCAGGTAAGGTGCTTACTGGTCTCAAGTCCTTCATCTGTATAGCGTTATTTACTTTTGCTAGTGGCGTTACAACTGATTTCTTCCATAATGTTGGTACTTCTCCTGTGTTCAGGGATTGATTTATGATATTCGTTATTTCACTTTTGCAAAAAGAAAATACATTTTTCAGCATGCTTGTGGTAATACCATCTATACCAGCAGCATTTGATTTCACTTCTCTCAGTTTCTTTTCAATATCATCAGATGTAACTAGATGGAACGAACTTTTAGTTACGAGTGACTTTTTCTGCCCAGATAAAGTGTTAAGAAATAACTCATCAGGTTGAATGGTTGGCAACGAGTTCACGAAGTGATTGTTGATGGCTTCTGGGTCTTCATATAGGTGTATATTGACTAACAGGGGATCTAACATACATTTCTTTAATAAATGATCTTGATATCTCGACAGATTGTGGTCGATTTGATGGATCAGTTTCTTCTAAAACCGATTTCCTCTAATATTTCTAATAATAATTTGTGATTTACTGTGTCGAAAGCTCTCTTTAAATCAACAAAAATGCAGATAGAAGGGATTTTATCAACATTTTGATGTAGTTGATTTACAATTTTATCTATTGCGTCCGATGTAGACTTCCCTTCTTTAAATCCATATTGATTTTCATTTAAAATTTTGTATTTTGTGAGGTATCGAACCATTCTAGTAGATAAAACTCGGTTTTATATTACCTTTTTTAAAATTGAGGGACATATGCCGGATTCAAAGCATTTGTTGATTAGGTAAGTGAGTCGTTTTGTTATGTCTTCGGCTATAATTTTCAAATGCTCGCTTTAAATACTGTCGAACCCAGGACCTTTTCGATTTTTTAAAGACATAACAGTGGTGTATACTTCACATTGCTCTACTTTATCCAAAATAAATGAGTTCAAAGATCTTTTTGGAAGCTGATTATTGGGTACATTTTCTTGTCAATTACTTGCTAAGTTAACACCTATATCAGTAAAAAGCTGTAAAAATTCATCGTATATCTGTTGAGTATTTTTGATCACTGTTCCCCATGTTGTGTTTAATTTAGTGACACACCCTTTAAATCTTGTTTTTCCTGTCATCTCATCGATAGTTGTCCAGGGCCGTCTAGGATCCAATTTATTTAGATACTGTTTTCCTTCTGTTTGCCTTGGAAGCTATAAACATTTATTTTTATATTGGTTGTTGCAGTCGATATTTTCTGTAATTATTATAGCATGAGCACGTTGAGTAAAGAGGTAAGTTGGGAGATGTGAATGATGGGCAATCGTAAATACCATGAACTGTTGTGTACAAAAATACGTAAGAGTGTGCTTTCCTTCTATTATCTAATCTAACAAAACCATATTTTTTAAATCGCTCGGCCTGACGGCTTCCAATGGGCGGCTATGTGCCCTCAGTTTTAAAAGACAAAAACTTCAAGAACTTACGCTGCACCGTCTGCAAATCTGCGATCCTGTGTAAAAAGTAATATGAACAATTTTGTAGCAAATTAAGTTCTTTATCGTTTTGCTATTTCCATAATTTGCCATATATTTAACAGGTTACGAGAAATTTATAGGTAAGGGGCATGTTATGATATTTTCGCTTATAATGGCTAAGCGTCTAAAGACTACTATCCTTTTTTGTAGAGAATAACATTTCCAACAAAAAAAGTCCTTTTCCTTTTTTTTAACACCTTGGGGGATAACTTTGTCAGCCATTATCTATGATCAAGAATATAATTTTTTTACTGCCATAAAAATGCAAATCACTCACTTCCATCAGTCTGTCTATTAGCCATTTCGCCACTGCGTAGCATCTGTAACCGTTGCAACGATTTTAATGGAAAGGGAGTGAGCCAGCATTATCTGCTAGATCTCCTCCTCCATTAAAATCGTTACAAAATTAGTATATTGAAATACTGATTACTCCACCTTGTAGAGGAGAAAAAGTGGCAATGTTAATGTGCAATTTATTTTTAAATACGATTTCAAATAAAAGGAAATAAACAACGATTTTTCAATAAATCGGCAGGGGTATTATGTAAAAAATGTCAAAAAAAAAACGAC